TAGCAACGGAAACATGGTTAAATAATACTTTTTTTAATTCTGAAATATGTCCTTCATTTTATAGTGTTGTTAGATCTGATAGAAAATTTTCAACTATCGGAATTACTAAGGGAGGTGGTGTTCTTGTTTGTTTGTCTAATAAAATCACTTACAATGTTATTGATACTACAATAATTACAGACATAGTGCCCTCTATTGATTTGGTTGTTTGCGGTTGCCTCTTCAATTCGTTTCAGTTTTATTTAGCAGCCATTTATGTGCCTCCTGATACTTCTTCTGCCAATTTGGAGTTACTTTTTGAGGCACTAGAGTCCGTATTACTGAATAAACCAACTTTATTTGTTGGAGATTTCAATTTAACGCACTACAGTAGTAACAATTTAATATATAATTCTCCTCGTAGTAAAGAACACTTGTTTTCTACATTTTGTAATTTGCTTAATTTTAGACAACATAACTCTGTATTAAATGCTAATAATAGAATGCTGGACTTAATTCTATCAAATTTTGACTGTAACATTTCAGTTTCTCAAGAGGAATTTCCATTTGTCCCAGAGGATGCTCATCATCCTTCTTTGGCAATTACGACTGAGTTTCTTCTACCTTCTAAAACTAATAAGTTCCCAACTGCTGACAATACTAGGTACAATTTCAGAAAAGCCAATTACATAAACTTGTATAGTGATCTGCTGATGGTTGAGTGGTCGTTTTTAATGGACTTCAGTGATGTAAATTCTTGTTTGGATTCTTTCTATGATAAATTTTATAGCATAATGCACTCTTCAGTTCCGCAGTATAGATCAACTAAATCGCATTTTCCTTCCTGGTTTAATAAAACGATAATTTCAAAATTAAAACTAAAAAAATACTACCATAAAAAATGGAAAATTACTTGCTATGATTCTTATTATATCGAATTTAAGAGGCTTCGAAGTGAATGTAAGAGATTAATAAATGTTGCACACCATAGTCATTTAAATAAAATTGAAAATTCTCTATATGATTCTCCAAAAAATCTATGGAAATATGTTCAATCTAAGAAAGATACTACTCGTATTCCTAGTAAACTGTGTCATAATGCCAGGGAAAGTGAGAATCCTCAGCACTGTGTTGATATGTTTGCAGAACAATTTTCAAGTTCATTTAGACCAAAACTAAATGCTACTGTAACAGATGCTTACACTAATAGTCTTTCTTTTATTTTCCAAAATGTTTCCGAAGATGAAGTTATATCTGTAATGTCAACTTTATCTAATAAATTGACAGCCGGAGATGATCTCGTTCCTAGTTTCTTGATTCATGATACCCGATTTGTCCTTGCTAAACCTATTGCCATTATCATTAACCTAGCCATTAAGTCAGCAACATTTCCAGATAAATGGAAGATAGCGAGAATTGTTCCTATCTTTAAAAAAGGTGATTGCCACTTAATAAAAAACTATAGACCTATTTCAATCCTTTCTAACTTCGCCAAAATATTCGAAATTCTCATTTATCGAAATATCTATTATGATATTAAAAGTCATCTCTCCATTCACCAACATGGATTTCTACCAGGTCGGTCAACAATTACCAATTTAGCAGTAATTACACAGTTTATCTCGCAAGAATTAGACAGAAATAATAATCAAGTCAATGTTATTTATACTGATTTTTCTAGCGCTTTTGACTCAATAGATCATTATACTTTATTAAATAAGCTAAGCTGTTTTGGATTTGCGGCCAGTTCTCTCAAGTTATTGCAATCGTATTTAAATAATCGTCCTAACTATGTTTCGTATAACGGTTTTAAGTCCAAGAATTTTATTTCCACTTCCGGAGTCCCCCAAGGATCTAATTTGGGTCCCTTATTTTTTGTTATATTTATCAATGATCTATTAGAGCTTCTTAATTGTAAAGTACTGGCATATGCAGACGACATAAAGTTATACTCTTCAATTAATAATATCAATGATGTTAAAATCTTTCAAACTAACTTTGATAAATTAGTAAATTACTGCAGTAATGTTAAACTGGTATTAAATCCTGAGAAATGCTTCTACATGACATTCACAAGGAAAGTAAATCCTGTGCATTCTACGTATACTATAAATGGCCAACATCTAAAAAAACGTCAAAATGCTAAAGATCTAGGTATAACATTTGATTCGCCACTTTCTTTTTGGCAACATGTTAACAATATTTCCCTAGCGTCGTTCAAGATGCTAGGATTTATATATCGAACTGCTAAAGATTTCACTGACCCGATCTTAATGAAAATATTATATTTTGCCTTTATTCGAAGCAAACTTGAGTATGGTTCCATTATCTGGTATCCTTATTATGCGTCACATAGCCTGGTACTTGAAAAAATTCAACGCCGCTTTCTCAAATACTTGTGTTTCAAAATTGATGGTAACTATCCTGAGCGTGGTATAGACTATAACTTTCTATTATCAAAACACCAAATACTTAGCTTAAAGTAACCGAAGGGATATCCATAGTGCAAGATTTCTGTGGAAGCTTATACATGGCAAGATCGACTGCCTCCAATTGCTATCTAGCGTCGATTTCTATGTACGTGCCAACAATCGCTTCTCGACACGCAAGTACCTTCTTACCACCACGACCAAGAACCAACTTGTTACGTAAAGCGCCACTATCGCATATGTACATAAATGCTGGAAAACTATATGAAGATATTTTTTGTTGATGTAAAATGTAATGGGAAAGCATTTATTATTATTTTCATATTACTATATTTTTTTATTTTTTTTTATATATTTTTTATTATAGTATTATCGTATGTACTACTTTTTTTTTTTTTTTTCTCTTTTTAGTATTGTGCTATAAAAGGATTGTATATCTGTTGGGCAATAAAAGTTATTTATTTATTTATTTATTTATTTATAACCTGGATGCTGAGGATAAAAACACAACACAGATTCATAAACCACACACACAAGAATATGTTATTTTATAAAATTTAAAGGACATTTGTTCGGTAGAAATCTAAGATTATGTCATAATTTTTTGGGAAGGCCTTACAATGTCAAAATTAAGTTGTAAAATGTTACACAGTTTTGAATTTTTCCCCAAAAATCTGGATGTTCATAGCACCAAAAAAAGGGATAAATTAGCAGTAAATAAAATGGTGAGTTCCACCCCATATTTTCTTTTTTAATTTATTATAGACTTGAATTTTTCAGTTCTTCAATCTTTCATTTTTTTGTTTTATTTTTTCGACTTTCCAAATTTTGAATTTTTCAATTTATACATTTTGTACTTTTTTGAATTGAGTTTCTCGAGTTTTAAATTTTTAATTTTTCCATTTGAAATTTTTCAATTTTTTGTTTTTCTTTTATACAATTCTGCGATATCTTTCCTAGTTTAATAAATGTAATTTAAAAATTTCCCAAGAAAGTTCTACTCTTTTAAAAACATGTTTCATATGGTAATTTCTTGTAGAGAAATGCAAATTTTGCAACTAAGGTCCACCCTTCAGCTCAGGATGAATACAAAATTTATCACAATTGAGAAGGGGCGGGTGGGTGGGGCTTATATTTTGTCCATTTTTTCTTAATATACGAAGTCTTTTTTCCTACCAAGAAACAGAAAACTTATGAACTATCCTGTTGTTGGAAGAAAGCACTATATATTAAAAAAAAAAACGCGAAGAGTAACCCCCCACCCACCCCTATCTCAATTGTGAGGAATTTTTCATTCGTTGTTAGACCGAGGGGTGGAGCGTAATTGCAAAATACATATTTTTCTACAAAAATTTACCATTTTCAACATGTTTTAAATTTTTTGTTGAGAAAAAGGCTGCAGGTATGATAAAAAAGTCAAAGTCAATCAAATCTGTCATTTTTAAACAAAACATTTTGGCAAATGACATACCCTCTAAGAAAATAGAGGCGGGTGGACAGGGCTAGCACCTGCTCAGATAAGACTGATTTTGGCAGACGCCATACCCTCTGAATAAATACAGGGCGGGTGGGCGGGGCTAGTACTTGCGAAGGTAAAACTTATTTTGGAAAATGACAAACTCTGAGGAAATAGGGGGCGGGTGGGCGGGGCTAGCACTTGCTAAGATAAAACTTATTTTGCCCCTATTAAACTTGCAAAAACTTAAATTTAAAAGGTGTTAAATTGCATATTTCCATCGTAACGAGCAAATTCCTAAATCTGATTGGATATTTATTTTGTTAACAAATCAGTCCTTAATTTTTCTGTGACACCCTGTACGTCAAAATTAAAAAAATATTAATTATAAATCAAAAATAAATCACAAGTATAGACTCAACATATTTTGCACATTTAAGATAGGATATATTCAGCAATATTTTGAGGTGACGTCATCAATTTTCTAGGGGGGATGAGCAAATACATTTTGATCAAAAATTTACCACGCTTATGATTTTAAAGGACTTCAAATGATTCGGTTCTTCAGTTCCTTATTAAATCAATAAAATAAATTCACGCACTCATTAATTTTTTTGAGCAAATTTAAAAGATATGAATGCAGTGATCAATCACACACTAATCATATTGTGCACATTTTAGCAAAATTTTGAGATGGCATCATCAATTTTTTGGAGGAGATAAGCAAGTATACAGCAACTAAAAGTGTAGCACTATGTTATTTTATATGTACAATTTAAAACCCATTTTCTATGTACAATTTTGAAATGACGTCATCACATTATTGGTGGCGATGATTAGACAAATTTTGGTTAGCGTTTTACCAACCTAATATAAATACAAAATTTGACAACAATCGGCCCAGTACTTTCGGAGATTACCTGTCTAAAAAAAATCAGGACGGCAGACAGACAGACCGACGGACTCAATTACAAAATGAGGTGAAATGTTAAAAAAATACACCAAAAAAAAACTTTACGACAAAAATTGACTTTTTATTAAAAAAAAGCAATAAAAAAACATGATAAAGTACCTTAAAATACATGAAAAAACAGGTAAAAAAAGCTTAAATATATGAAAATAAAAAATATCCTGCATGTGTGAAAAATGTAAATAATTGTATCAATATTGTATTTTTCGTACTCTAATGGTCATGACCCATCAAGAGAAAATATGAAAGTAACCAGTTGCCCAATAGACTGGATTATATAGTCTTGCCTTCGGTATATAATGGTTTTCAAAATTAGTACAGCTTCATTGTTTCGAAAATTGGACGGTTTTCTTCTACTAGCCTCTTGAATAGATCGCAACTGCCTTCACGATGTCATGTAGAACTTCTTTCTACCTATAAATATGACAGAATTTATTTTTCTACTCGAGCTAAAAGCAGACAAAACCACTTACCGTCTTGGACTCCTCTTTGAACTAGGGTAGGATTTTCTACGAGAATGCCTAGCTAGCTAGCTAGGGATACTGCGAGACTGCAATAAATTGCTTGCCACACTAAAACCCCTCCATCTTCACTTGAAACTTTTCAACGATATATTTTAGAAGGACCTCCATTTTTTTCGAAACAAATTTTGGCAACTTTTCTATAATTAAAAAAGTCGAAAAAAATTATGACGCAGTTAAATTAGAAGTCGTTGGTAGACAATAAATATTGCATCCTTTCCATGAAGACAGAGAAGGGTCTACAAATACAATCCGGCACTTGTTCTGACTTCAGACTCTTACAGCTTCCGGATGTTTCCTGACGACTATTTCGAAGCGATCAAAATCGATACCCATCTAACATATTAGAAAAAAAGTGTGATCATTATTGTCGTCGACCACAAATTCTAAATCAAAATTAATCAGTCTGTCGACGAGAGATATTTTGACGTGAGTGCGGTCTTGAGACTTTTCCAAAAACTTTTGCTTCAAAAACAAAATTTTATACTTCATCGTACAATATCCACATCGCTGTCATCTCGTCTAAAGTTTCGTCGTACTTTCCGTTCCAATGAAATTCATCCAAAACAAGGTGAAAAATGGTTTTCTTGTCTTTTTCGACAAAATTTGGGTCCACCCCATGGTCGAGACAGTATTTTATTTTCGCGAGTCTGTGTTGTAATATAATGGAACATTAACGTAGTGAAAGCCGTCCAAAGAAGATCGGTTTCTATCAAACTGTATTCAACAAGCATTCTAAAGCGTTAATAGGGGGCGGTGGTTGCAAAAGCAAGTAGATGGTGGAAGATTTCTTTTCTTTTCTGAAATGAAAAAAGGAACTTAACACTTTCAATGGTAATGCGGGTTTTGAAATATTTCTAAACATGATTTTAGAAGCTATGGACCAGTTTTTTCCCATCGTTCGGAAAACACAATTTTCCAGATCAAGAAAAGCAGGAATAAATAATAACCGCTTTACCTATAAACTAAAAAAAAAAAAATGCGTAATACAGTAAGAATATTCTATGATTTAACTGTTAATAATTTAATAAACAAAATAATTTCCAAGTCTTATAAAAAATTAGATAAGACCGAAATTTCGAAGGCTAAAAAGTTTGCAAATGATCTGTATGTAACTAAATCTACAAACAAGGTTAAAGCTAGTCTACCTAGATAATTATGAGAAGAGTAAGGCAAAGAGCGTGATTCATCTGCGACTGAAAGTCTCTACATGTTTATGACTGATATTATTAATTTATTTTTCAAATTCAAATTATCCAAACGCAGTTACGCGCGTTTTTTTTTTTCTCAGCGCGAAATTGTAATTCAAACTGGGACACCACAATATCGTAATTAAGTAATGATTTTTATTTCAATAATCTATATTAAGCAGATTTGCACTAAAATGAGATAATAACATATTTTCTAATATTAATATTATTTTGTTGTTAAACCACGGTATTTTAAAGTTTTTGTTAATTGAAATTGTCATGTTGTTGGGTTAACTCGTGTATATATGAAATTAAAGAATATCTAAAATTAATATGAAATAAAGGACTGTTTATTTATTTAACTCGAGAAGCAAATTTATGGAATTTTCACCGTTGTCTTCAAAATTATTTCACACACTGAGTTTTTGTGTATCAAATACTGTATGCAAGATTGAAATAATTTGTCTACATGTTTTCTCAATTTTCAGGAATGGTAACATCTGTGAAAGTTTGACGGTTTGTTTCACTAGTCCCACGAAACTAGAATTTAGACATCTTACAAAAAGGGTAGTCTTTTTGTCTTGCGTTTTTGTTTTGTTGTAATATTAAAAGATTTATTTACATTAATTCGTGATTTCGCAATTATTTTTCCAATTTTCAATTTTTTTAATAATGCAATTTTTAAATTTCTCAGTTATCCGATTTTCCGATTTTTTAATTTCCAGTATTTCGAATTTACAATTTACGTTTTTTCGATTTGTAATGCCCGTTTTTACCCTACTTTTAATCACCTAATTAACGTTATGTTTTGTTTAATTTGACAGATTTGATTGATTTTTTATCATACCTGTAGCCTTCTTTTCAAAACAAAAAACTTAAAACATGTGTGAGAATGGTAAATTTTTGTAGAGAAATATGTATTTTGCAATTACGCTCCACCCTCGGTCTAACAACGAATGAAAAATTCATCACAATTGAGATCGGGGCGGGTGGGGGGGGTTTAATCTTCGTGTTTTTGTTTAATATATAGAGCTTTCTTACAACAACAGGATAGTTCATAAGTTTTCTGTTTTTTGGTAAGAAAAAAGACTTCGTATATTAAAAAAAAAATGGATAAATATAAGCCCCACCCACCCGCCCCTTCTCAATTGTGATGAATTATTTATTCATCCTGAGCTGAAGGGTGGAGCTTAGTTGCAAAATTTGCATTTCTCTACAAGAAATTACCATATGAAACATGTTTTTAAAAGGGTTGAACTTTCTAGGGAAATTTTGAAATTACATTTATAAAACTACGAAAGATATCGCAGAATTGTATAAAAGAAAAACAAAAAATTGAAAAATTGGCGAAACAAAAAATTAAGAAAAAAGTGGAACTGAAAACAAAATATTATAAAATCTAAAACGAAAAATTCCAAATGGAAAAATTAAAAATTCAAACTCGAGAAACTCAATTCGAAAAAGTGCAAAATCGATAAATTGAAAATTTCAAAAGGTGGAAAGTCGAAAAAATGAAACAAAAGAATGAAAGATTGAAGAACTGAAAAATTCAAATCTATAATAAATTAAAAAATTGGTCTAAAGAGTATAGACAGTACTTCCCTCGCTGTCGGAAACTTGACGACTGCATGCCTATTGTGTTTTTTTCTCATTACATTTTTGTAGTGGGAATTTAAAAAAAATTGCGATGACGTCATCAACATTTTTGCAAGGACACGTATATCAGTTGGGATAGATGTAGTGTATTACTAAGAATAAAATTATTGTATTCCCAAATTTTCGGGAAAATGAATTGGGTCGTTTTGAATATTGATTTTTTATAATCAATAAAATAACGAAAAAATTTACTCACGTATACGGCAACTGAAAATCGTTTATGTATAAACATTCTTAATTTAAGATGACAAGCGTAACAGCATACGTGAGAGTCAAACAGAGAAACTGTAAACAAAACGACCATCGGTTTTATTGCTTCGACTTCCGCTTATTATATAAAACATTGGGTTTTATTTTAATTCTTGACGGTGAAATTCACAATTGGTTGATTATAAACATGTCTATTTCACATTCGCGGAACCAAGTGAGCGCATAAAACAAATGCAGGTCTGTAATGTTAAAGTCGATGTAAATAAGCCTGCTACCCTTATGTTTCAACCGAGTTTTTCCTTTAACAAATTTTGTGTCTACCAAATTGGGTTGGTTGGGGTGTAATACTAATAATAAGTGTTGCCTTTAATTTAATCAATAAAATAAATTGACTTCATTAATTTTTTTGAACCACCTCTTAAGAAAATCTAAAAAATATGAATGGAATGATAAATCACAAGTACAAACTCATCATATTTTTTGCATTTTAGATAGGATTTATTCAGCAAAATTTAAGGGTGACGTCATCAATTTTTTTAGGAGGGATGAACAAATACATTTTGAACAAAAGTTTACCGTGCTTATAATCACTTTAAAATATTCCCAAGATTTCAAAGTATTCGGTTTTCTAATTCCTGATTAAATCGATAAAATAAATTCACGCCTTCATTAATTTTTTTGAGTCACCCTGCATATGCAAATCCAAAAATATGATTGGAATGATAAATCACAAGTACGGACTCATCATATTTTGTACATTTTAGATACGATTTATTCGGCTTTTGAGCTGACGTCATCAGCTTTTTGTAGAAGATAACCAAATATATTTTGACTAAAAATTTATTATGCTCTTTATAACCTTAAAACATCTGCAAGATTTCAAAGCATTCGGTTTTGTAGTTCCTGATTAAATCAATAAAATAAATTTACGCATTCATTAATTTTTTTGAGTCACCCTGTATATGCAAATCGAAAAAATTTGAACGGAATGATAAATCACAAGAAGAGACTCACCATATTTTGTACATTTTAGATAGGATTTTTTCAGTAAAATTTTGTGGTGACGTCATAATTTTTTTAGGGGGGACGACCAAATACGTTTTGATCAAAAATTTACCATGCTTATGATAATTTTAAAATATCTTCAAGATTTCGAAGCATTCGGTTTTGTAGTTCCTGAGTAAATCAGTAAAATAAATTTACGCTTTCATTTATTTTCTTGAATCACCCTGTATATGCAAATCCAAAAAATTTGAATACATACACGATTTTCAGTTGCCTCTGATACGTATACGAGAGTAAATTGTTTCGTTATTTTATTGATTATTACAAATCAATATTCAAAACGACCCAATTCATTTTCCCGAAAATTTGAGAATATAATAATTTTATTCTTAGTATTACACTACATCTATCCCAAGCGATATACGTGTCCTTGCAAAAATGTTGATGACGTCATCGCAATTTTTTTTTAAATTCCCACTACAAAAATGTAATGAGAAAAAAAACACAATAGGCATGCAGTCGTCAAGTTTCCGACAGCGAGGGAAGTACTGTCTAAACTCTTTAGACCAATTTTTTTTTTATTTTTCCGACTTTCCAATATCAGAAGCAATGGTTAAAGTATCCCGAAAATTTAGAAAAACCATACAGTAAAAACCAGTGGCGTAAATATTATCGTGGCAGGGGGCGTTCGCACAAATGCAGACGAATGAAATGTGTATAAATCAAATAACTTCAATTGTTTATGTTCATAATATAGCACGTTCTGATAACACACATCAGCGGCCGCATTTGTGTTAAAAGAAAATGAAATTTGCACGTTTAAAAAATATACAAAATTCACTTACAAAATTTCAAATGGGAGACATTTTTCAGCTAAATCTCAACATATCCTGTGCAAAATTTTCACTTTCACTCTCATCGTCACTTTCTACCTCTTCACTGTCCGTGGGCACGTACATATCATACAGAAGTTCTTCAATTCTGTCGCTGTCACTGTCACTGTTAGTGTTGTAGTCACCTGACGATGGCGGTGACAATAAATTGTAACGGTTATCGACCATGTCATTACCTTCCTCATCACTAGGCACGTACATATGGTAAAACGGCGTTTCAAATTTGATTATTTTCTTGTTACTTTCGCCTATAGGAAGACCGTTCACTATTGAATAAAACTCTTTTGCTGTTTTCACCTCAAATCTTTCAACGATGTGTTTTTTGGAGGCGTCTCTAGCCAGTTCCACTAAAGAAGGCACCCTTGGAAGAACGTCTATTTTTTTTGCAACAACTTTCGGCAAGTTTTCTATCGTTAATATGGCAGTTCTTAATTTTGGGTTAACGCAGAAATCTAGTAAGCGCAGTACATCATAGGGAATCCATTGGTAAAACCATGATGGGGACAAGTTCAAACGAGGGACATCCCAAATTGTATACTGACCAACGGCCGATTTTTCTGAAATTAATGCAGCGATATCTTCTACGCTTAAAGTAATGTTTACGAGATATACGACCATTACAGTTTGATACGTTAGGAGACTTTTGTACTTGTTCGTATCTAATTCTATATCTAGGTGCAGTAAAGTCCGAAAGAGGATGCAATCAACGAACCTTCTGTTGACGATGTGACACATGTCCATATCGCACTTCATACCATGCTCGACCATGAACAAAACGAATGTTGTGGCTTCTAGTTCTGAATCTCCAGATTCACAAATACTTCTGCCGTCCACTCTTTCGAATAATTCTATAACGCAATTGAAATAGAAGTCGTTTGTAGACAATAAATATTCCATCCTTACCTGGAAGACAGAAAAGGATCTAAAAACACAATTCGGCACCTCTTGTGACTCCAGAGCAGCTCTTACAGCCTCCGGGTGTCTCCGGACTACTGTTTTAAAGCGCTCGAAATCCATTCCCATCAAACATATTAGCAAAAATGAGTGATCTTTATTGTCATTGATCACAAATTCTAAATCGTAATTAATTAATCTATCGACTAGAAATATTTTCACGTGATTGCGGTCTTGTGATTTCTCCAAGAACTTTTGCTTGTAGACTAGGTGAAGAAACGTCTGCAAACGCAGTTTGCCATACTTGGAGTCATCGTTCATGGTATGCATGAACAGTTCCTGGAAAACAAAGTTTGATACTTGATCATACATCTGCAGCGACACAAATTCGAACGCGCTGTATGAACCAAACAATTCGGAGCAGTTATCAGTGCGACTTTCTATTGCGGGGTTGCCTCCATAATAGAGTAACATGGCTACCGTCTCGTCTAGGCATTCATCGTAGATTCCGTTCCAATGAAACCCATTCAAAATAAGGCGGAAAATGGTCTTCTTGTCTTTGTGGATAAAATTTGGGTCCAAGCCATGGTCTAGGCAGAATTTTATTTCCGCGGGGTCTGTGCTGTAGTATAGTGGAAGATTATTAGCGTGGTGAAAGCTGTTCAAAGAGGGTTGGGTTCTATCAAACTGTAGATGAAATGGGGAGACATCCAGGTACGAATATACAGACATTCTGAAGCGGTAGATGGGTGGACGGTGATTGCAACGCCAAATGGGTATTTCTTTCCTGAAATGAAAAAAAGAGTTCAATACTGTGGAACTAAAAAAGGTAAATTATCAAACAATACATTTTATTACAGATCTAAGTACCAACGTATATTGCTTTTCTAGGAAGAGCTTGGAAGTATTAAATACACCAAGTCCTCCTACAACTTTCTTTTCGAGTTCTTTTCCCCTATCATATGGTTCGTGTTGGGTTTTCGTAAAGTAATGTTCAAAAGTGTGAAAGTGTTAAAAATTATTTACCACCTAGTATTTTTAAAAATCCCAAAGTCAAATCGTCTTTAAAAGACAAGTTAAAGGAATGGATGGAAACAAAGACGTTTTTCAAATAGAAAACGGCGAATTGTTCTGGAAGCTTGTGGGAAAATTGTAAGTACCTATAGATTATTATTAATGTTGCAAAATTCCAATGGGAAAACTAGTGGTGAAATTAATTCCATAAATTTGACATATCTATTTTTGAAAAATAAATAAATAAATAAATAAAATGCGTTGTGGATTTCATGCTGTCAAAATTATTGTCAAATTTTTCATTTCAGGACTTCCAAAACATTACCAGTGCAAAAATTTCAGTTTTCAACTTTTGAGTTTTTCAATTTATAGATTTTGCAATTTTTCGAATTGAGTTCCTCGAGTTTTCAATTTTTAATTTTTCCATTTGCAATTTTTCGTTTTAGTTTTTTATTTTCTTTATTTTTATTTTTTCAATTTTTTGTTTTTTTTTTACAATTCTGCGGCAACTCTTCGAGGTTTCATTTTTAAATTTTCGAGTTTCAATTTTGAGAGTTTGCAGTTTTCGATTTGAAATTTGACGAGTTTTGAATTTTTCAGTTTTTCGTTTCTTCAGTTTTTCGAGAAAAACGAGAAAGTACAAGTTATTCTACGTGGCTTACATTAGAAGTACAGTCCAAAAGTATTGAATAATATATTGACACTATGTTTTTTATTATATCTCTTGTTCTTTGTGCCAAAAAATTGTGTGTTTATATTTTGTCTATTTTTTTAATAGACGAAGTCTTCTTTTTCCAAAAAGAAAGTGAAAAGATGTTTAACTTTCCTGTTGTTGAAAGAAAAGGACTAAAAGGACTAAAAGATGAAAAGGACGAAAAGGGCGACAAGGACGAAAAAGGACGATAAGGACGAAAACGAATGATAAGGACGAAAAGGACAAATAAGGACGAAAACGACGACAGAGGACGAAAAGAACGAAAAAGGATGAGAAGGACGAAAAGGACGAAAAGGACGAAAAGGGACGGCAAGGATGAAACTACTGAATTTAATGTAAATGACATAAATAAACATTTTATTGAATCTGTCCCAAAGTTTTCCAGCTGTGGTGAGCAGCAATATCTTTCATCTTTTACTATGCAATCCTTTTCATCCGATCAATTTTTATTCAAACCGGTAGATATTGCAACAATAGAGACCTTTGTTTCAAACTTGAAACCTGTGCTGGTGTGATTGCATTACAGGTAAAATGCTTCAGTTAGCTTCTACTTGGTTTAGTGAACCACTCACTCATATTATCAACCTCGCTTTTGAACAGGGACAAGTCCCTAAACTGTGGAACTTCTCTTTGGTGAAGCCGATTCCTAGAAAAAAACATCTGTTTCTTTAGATGATTTTAGGAAAATAAGTCTGATTTGTAACACGCTAAAAGTGGCTGAGTTTGCACTATGTGCTCAATTTAAAACATTTCTAATGAAGAAAAACATTGTTCCGTCGCAACAGTCCGGATTTCGAGAAAACTTCAGTACATCTACAGTTCTCATTTCCTTGGTTGATGACAATTTTAGTGGATTCTCCACTGGTAAAGTCACTTTGCTAACTCTGCTTGACATGTCCAAGGCATTTGATAGCCTCAATATATCTCTGTTGGTTACCAAACTTAAATATTATGGAATGTATGGAGCCACCTTGAACTGGTTCCAGAATTATTTATTTAATCGTGCTGTTAGTTGACTGTAATGGTCAGAAATCAAATATGATGGCTTTAAGTTCCGGGTTTCCCCAAGGATCGGTACTTAGACCTCTTCTCTTTTCTTTATATTCTGCCAACTTAGTAAAAGTTATTAAACATTGCTGTGTACACATGTATGCAGATGATGTACAACTTTATCTCACTTTCAATTCTGAAGAAACTGAAGCGTGTGTTAACCTTATGAATAGAGATCTAGAACATGTACAGCAATGGTGCGTAAACAACTGCTTGCAACTCAATCACAGTAAATGTGAAACGATTTTGTTTGGTATGCCTACAAAGCTTCTTCAGTGTAGAAATCGCGTTGAATTAAAAGTAAACAATCATGTCCTGAAAAGTTCCTCTGTGGTTAAGAGTCTGGGAGTTATGCTTGATAGCCAACTAAAGTTTGTGGAACATGTCAATCACATTTGCAAAAAAACCTTTTTTTCACTAGCAGCCATCAAGCATGCAAATGTCGACTCATTTAGAGATAACAAATTCAACTTTTGCGACCACCGGTTCAAAAAGAAAAATTGAGGTTATGTACGCAATGTTTGATGTGATTATTTCTTAAAAAATGAACAAATGTGTGCTACAAACATTACTTGAGTATACGCACGGTAGTTGGTAGACGGTAGAAGATAAAATGATTAACTCAGCGACAAGTATAAACGGTTTTCTTTGTGTTGAAGATTTAGATTAAGTTTGATTGGAAACCAAAACAAAATCATGTTGCGTCAAAAAATTGAACGTTTATTTTTTCAGTTTGTTGTCTTATGGTTTCTACTAGTGAAAAAAATAGTATATTAACCACGGTTGCACAGCCACTTCTAGACCTCGCGCTTCAGAGCCCTCGACGCTGCGCATCTCGGGTTCTAATTTGCGCTCGTTCTAGAATGCTTGGCTCTGCAACCTTGGCTGATAATAATATACTATTTATCTTTTAAGCAAATAAGTCCTTACAGGTTTTTTCTGGATACTAAATCTAAAAAGCGGCTGTCAGATACTTTGATTTTATCTCATTTAAATTATGCTGACACAGTATACGGCCTTTGTCTATCTCAGCTGCAAAAATATCGGCTACAGAAAATTCAAAATTTTTGTACCCGGTATACATTAACTGTTCCACGTTTTGCTCATGTGACCCCCTTCATTAGACAACTAAATTGGCTGAAGTCAGGTGAACGACGTTTCATTCATTACGTCTTAATTGTTTCCAAAGTGTTGCACACATCAGCACCTTCTTATTTGATTAACAAAATAGTGCTGCGATCGACTATCCACAATAAAAACTTAAGAAATGTGTGTTTTTCAGCTGACATACCACGCATAACCTGGTACCTATGTTTTAAGTCTTTATTTTCCTACTTGGCGGCGTATGTTATAAATAATGTCATTGGCGTAGAGAAGAGCCCCATTTTTAATCAAACTTCAGAGAAACTGCTAAAACAACGACTGCTGAATGGGGAAATACCAAATATAAATTTAGGTCTGCTTTAAATTATTAATAAATAAACTTCATTTAATACTAATGTCAGGTCAGATTAATATCAGTTTTTCCTGTATCAGTACCTTTTGTACCAATGTTTTTAATTTATTTATTTAAAATTGGTTCAATAAAAATTATTTTTATTTTTATTAATATTAATATTATTATAAAAAGGACGATAAGGACGAAAAAGGACGAACAAGGACGAAAAAGGAAGAAAAACCACGAAAAGGACAAAAAAGGATGATAAAGACGACAAAGGGCGAACAAGGACGAAAAAGGCCAAACAGGACGAAAAGAACGACAAAAGAAGGAAAAAGGGCGAAAAGGACGAAAAAGGACGAAAAAGATGAAAAACTATGAAAAGAACGAGAAAGGATAATAAGGACGAAAAAGAACGAAAAGGACGAGAAAGGAATATAACGTCTTTTCCCAAAAAGAAACTGGAAACATGTTTAACTTTCCTGTTGACTAAAAGGACTAAAACTACTGAAAGGACCGACAGGACTAAAAGAACAAAAAGGACTTAAAGGACGAAAAGGATAAAAAATACAATAAGGACGAAAAATACGAAAAGTACGAAAAGGACGAAAAAGGACGATAAGGACGAAAAAGGATGATAAGGACGAAATTCAACTACTAGCACAAACATCAGCGATTAAAAAAAATGACATTTGGTTGATTTTGTGTACTCAACGCAAAGGAAAGGACTGACTGATGAATTCATACCCAGTTTTTTTCACAAAAACGTTCATAAATTTGAAGAAATTCGGGAAAAATGTAAGATGACGGATAAATTTTGGCCAACGATTTATGAAGTTTCAAATAACCTTAAAATTTTTCACGATTTCACAGCATTCGGTTTTTGCAATTTCAAAGTTACATTGTAAAATATTGTTATACAATGTTGTTTTTTCCCAATAGCCTGGATGCTGAGGGTGAAAACTCGACACAGATTCATAAATCACACATACAAGAATATGTTATTTTATAAAATTTAAAGAACATTTGTTCGGTAGAATTCTAAGATGATGTCATAATTTTTTGGGAAGGCCTTACAATTTCAAAGTTAAGTTGTAAAATGTTACAGTTTTGAATTTTTCCCCAAAAATCTGGATGCTTTTAGCACCAAAAAAGAGGCAAATTAGAAGTAAATAAAATGGTGCGTTTCACCCCTCATTTTCTTTTTTAATTTATTATAGACTTGAATTTTTTAGTTCTTCAATTTTTCATTTTTTGTTTCATTTTTTCGACTTTCCAACTTTTGAATTTTTCAATTTATAGATGTTGCACTTTTTCGAATTGAGTTGCTCGTGTTTTAAATTTTTAATTTTTCAATTTGCAATTTTTCGTTTTAGTTTTTATAATTATTTGTTTTTTCAGTTTCACTTTTTCTTTAATTTTTCGTTTCGTCAATTTTTCCATTTGAAATTTTTCAATTTTTTGATTAAAGATTAACCCCTCCCCACTCGCCCCGATCTCAATTGTGAGGAATTTTTCATTCGTTGTTATAAATAGTGGAGCGTAATTGCAAAATACATACTTTTGAATATTTCGTTCAATTTTGTGATTTTTCAGTTTTTCGATTTTTCAATTTTAACTTTTCAATTTTTACATTATTAATTTTTTTCGATTTTTGAGTTTTCAGTTCTTCCATATTTCAATTTTTCAATTTTCGGAATTTTTAAATTTTCGATTGTCCATTTTTTTTTTATTTTTACGATTTTTGAATATATACTGAAACAATGGTTAAAGTAACCCGAAATTTTAGCAAAACCATACAGTAAAAACCAGTGGCGTAAATATTATCGTGGCAGGGGGCGGTTCGCACAAATGCAGACGAATGAAATGTGTATAAATCAAATAACTTCAACTGTTTATGTTCATAATATAGCACGTTCTGATAACACACATCAGCGGTCGCATTTGTGCTAAAAGAAAATGAAATTTGCACGTTTAAAAAATATACAAAATTTACTTACAACATTTCAAATGGGAGACATTTTTCAGCTAAATCTCAACATATCCTCTTCAAAATTTTCACTTTCACTCTCATCGTCACTTTCTCCCTCTTCACTGTCCGTCGGCACGTACATATCATACAGAAGTTCTTCAATTCTGTCGCTGTCACTGTCACTGTTAATGTTGTAGTCACCTGACGATGGCGGTGACAATAAATTGTAACGGTTATCGACCATGTCATTACCTTCCTCATCACTAGGCACGTACATATGGTATAACGGCGTTTCAAATTTGATTATTTTCTTGTTACTTTCGCCTATAGGAAGACCGTTCACTATTGAATAAAACTCTTTAGCTGTTTTCACCTCAAATCGTTCAACGATGTGTTTCCTGGAGACGTCTCTAGCCAGTTCCAATAAAGAAGGCACCCTTGGAAGAACGTCTATTTTTTTTGCAACAACTTTCGGCAAGTTTTCTATCGTTAATATGACAGTTCTTAATTTTGGGTTAACGCAGAAATCTAGTAAGCGCAGTACATCATAGGGAATCCATTGGTAAAACCATGATGGGGACAAGTTCAAACGAGGCACATCCCAAATTGTAGACTGACCAACGGCCGATTTTTCTGAAATTAATGCAGCGATATCTTCTACGCTTAAAGTAATGTATACGACCATTACAGTTTGATACGTTAGGAGACTTACGTGCAGTAAAGTCCGAAAGAGAATGCAATCACCGATCCTCCTTTAGACAATGTGACACATGTCAATATCGCACTTCATACCATACTCGACCATGAACAAAACGAATGTTGTGGCTTCTAGTTCTGAATCTCCAGATTCACAAATACTTCTGCCGTCCACTCTTTCGAAAAATTCTACAACGCAATTGAAATAGAAGTCGTTTGTAGACAATAAATTTTCCATCTTTTCCTGGAAGACAGAAAAGGATCTAAAAATACAATTCGGTACCTCTTGTGACTGCAGAGCAGCTCTCACAGCCTCCGGGTGTCTCCGGACTACTGTTTTGAAGCGCTCGAAATCCATTCCCATCAAACATATTAGCAAAAATGCGTGATCTGTATTGTCATTGATCACAAATTCTAAATCGTAATTAATTAATCTATCGACTAGAAATATTTTCACGTGATTGCGGTCTTGTGATTTCTCCAAGAACTTTTGCTTGTAGACTAGGTGAAGAAACGTCTGCAAACGCAGTTTGCCACACTTGGAGTCATGGTATGCATGAACAGTTCCTGGAAAACAAAATTTGATACTTGATCATCAGTAGGCGGAAATTTATCTTACGGATGCAATTCCCCAGTTGAAGCAAGGTGTGTTTTACGGCGATAGCGGGGACGCTTTGATCTGGTCCACAAGGTCGTAGCCAGTGCGTCGCTAGGAGTGGTTACAGCTTGTTAAAAAACTACTTCTATATTACTATATTACTTCAAAAAACAATACTCGATGCCCTTTTTAATTTTTCAAACACAGGACCACAGATTTGTGATCTTGAAATGTTATATTATGTTGATATAGTCCAAAAGAAAAATATATTTGTAATCAAACTATCGTCGCGACAGCACTGGATCTAGCGTATGAAACACAATTCCGCCCGTTGTTGATCATACATCTGCAGCGACACAAAGTCGAACGCGCTGTATCTACCAAACAATTCGGAGCAGTTATCAGTGCGACTTTCTATCGCGGGGTTGCCTCCATAATAGAGTAACATCGCTACCGTCTCGTCTAGGCATTCATCGTAGATTCCGTTCCAATGAAACCCATCCAAAATAAGTCGGAAAATGGTCTTCTTGTCTTTGTGGATAAAATTTGGGTCCAAGCCATGGTCTAGGCAGAATTTTATTTCCGCGGGATCTGTGCTGTAGTACAGTGGAAGATTATTAGCGTAGTGAAAGCTGTTCAAAGAGGGTTGGGTTCTATCAAACTGTAGATGAAATGGGGAGACATCCAGGTACGAATATACAGGCATTCTGAAGCGGTAGATGGGTGGACGGTGATTGCAATGCCAAATAGGTATTTCTTTCCTGAAATGAAAAAAAGAGTTCAATACTGTGGAACTAAAAAAGGTAAATTATCAAACAATAAATTTTATTACAGATCTAAGTACCAACGTCTATTGCTTTTCTAGGAAGAGCTTTGAAGTGTTAAATACACCAAGCCCTCCTACAACTTTCTTTTCGAGTTTTCTTCCTCTATCATATAGTTTGTGTTGGATTTTCGTAAAGCGAACTTTAAAAGTGTAAAAGTGTTAAAAATTCACCTAGTATTTTTTAAAATGTCCAAAGTCAAATCGTCTTTAAAAGAGAAGTTGAAGGAATGGATGGAAACAAAGACGTTTTTCAAATAGAAAACGGCGAATTGTTCTGAAAGCTTGTGGGAAAATTGTAAGTACCCTATAGATTATTATTAATGTTGCAAAATTCTAATGGGAAAACTAGTAGTGAAATTAATTCCATAAATTTGACATTATATCTATTTCTGAAAAATAAATAAATAAATAAATAAATAAATAAATAAATAAATAAATAAATAAATAAATAAATAAATAAATAAATAAATAAATAAATAAATAAAATGCGTTGTGGATTTCATGCTGTCAAAATTGTTGTCAAATTTATCATTTTAGGACTTCCAAAACATTACCAGTGGAAAAATTATTATTCTTTAAATAATCTCTCAAATTACAAAATATTTGCCGGATGTCTTGAACGAATTTGGGAAAATACATTTTGTAAACAATCTCGAGAAAATCTCGATGATAATGAAAACTGGTCGAAGGTTATTTCAAGAGAACTTTCCTCGCCTCTGAAGCGTAGCCAAATAAATCCCGCTTTTTCGAAAAATTTTATTTTGTTTTTGCAATTTTTGTTTTCTGATATCCCCGTTAAAGTAAAATCCAGTGGCGTAAATAACGGTCTCACAGCTTTTTTGACTTGAATTTTTCAGTTCTTCAATCTTTCATTTTCTCGATTTCAATTTTTCGAGTTTTCGACTTTGGATTTTTCAATTTATAGATTTTGCAATTTTTCGAATTGAGTTCCTCGAGTTTTCAATTTTTAATTTTTCCATTTGAGTCGAGAAATCAAAAATAGATTGAGAAATCGGAAAACTGAAAATTCATAATGTCAAAATTAAAAAATATTGAGGAACTGAAAAACCGAAAAATCAAAATATCTAAACTTTCAAATATTGAAGAATTAATATGGTAAAATTGAAAAATTGAAAAATCCAAACATCAAGAAATCAAAAAAATAAAAAGTTGAAAAATCGAAAAACTGAAAAATCAACAAACTGAGAAATCAAAACGCAAAAATTAAAAAAATTGGAAAATTGAAAAATCGGATAATTCAAAAATCGAAACATTGAAAAATCGAAAAATCGAAAAACCGACAAATCGAAAATCGAACCATCGAAAAATTCAAAAAATGACACATCGAGAAATCGAAAAAATTAAAACATTGAGAAATCGAGGAGTCTAAAAGTAGAGAAGGGGAAAAATTGAAAATCCGAAATAGGCGGAAATCGAAAAATCGAAAAGTTAAAAATTGAAAAACCGATAAATCGAGAGATTGAACAATCAAAACATCGAATCATCCGAATCTCGATAAATCGAGACCCCAAAAAATTGAAAAATCGAAAATTTAAAAATTTTGAAAATTGTAAAATTAAAATATAGACAAGTTGAAAAATTTAGAAATCGAATTATAAAATAGTCAAAAAATTGAAAAATCAAGAAGTCAAAAAATCGAAAAGTCCAATAATAATCGAAATATTGAAAAATCCCAAAACTGAAAGAAATATCCAAAAATTGAGAAATTAAAAAATTGGAAACTTGAGAAATCAAAAACCAATAAAGCAAAGTCGAAAAATCGAAGAATTGAAGAACTGAAAAATCGAAATTCTGCGAAGTCGAGAAATGGGAAAATTAAAAAATAAATTAATTGAGACCACGGAATACTGGAAATTTAGCAATGTCAAAATTCGAAAAATTGAAAAATAGAATTACTGAAAACTGAAATATCAAAAAATCGAGAAATCAAAAATGTTAAATTTAAAATACTGAACAATCAAAATATCGTAAAATTGAAAAATCGAGAATCCAAATATTAAAAATCAAAAAATTAAACTTCCAAAATGTAAAATTTCAAAATCGAAAAACTGAAAAATCGACAAATCGAGAAATCGAAACTCCAGAATTTAAAAAATTGAAAAATTAAAAAAACACAGAAATTGTAAAGTTCCCAAAATTGATAATGTTGAAAAAATTGAGAAATCGAAAACATAAAATCTAAAAATCGAAAAGTCGAAAAACTTTAAAAAATCGAAAAACCAAAATGGCAAAATTAAAAAATCCAAAAATTGAAAATAGATATATGTAAGAACTGAAAACTCGAGAAATAGAAAAAATTAAAACTTTAAAAATTGAAAAGTTAAAATATTGAAAAGTTGAAAAATTGAAAAATCGAAGTATAAAACAGTCGAAAAATTGAAAAATCGAAAAACTGAAAAATCCCACTGATAGAAATATCCAAAAATTGGGAAAATTAAAAATTGAAAAATCAAAAAAGCGAAGTCGAAAAATCGCAAACTTAAAAAATCGAAAAATTGAAAGTTCCAAAACCTGAAAAATCGAAAAATTTAAAAACTGAAAGATCGAAACTTTGGAAAGTCGAGAAATGGGAAAATCAAAAAATTAACTTGGAAATTGGAAAACTGAAAATTCGGAAACGTCAAAATTAAAAAAATTTGTAGAACTAAAAAACCGAAAAATCAAAATGTTCAATCTTTAAAACATTGAAGAATTAAAATATCGTAAAACTGAAAGATGGAAAAATCCAAACATCAAAAAATCAAGAAAATAAAAATTCGAAAATCTAAAATCAAAAAATCGAAAACTGAAAAATCATCAAATTAAAATTCGGTCACCACAAAGTGAAACACCAATAAGCCGAAAGTCCAGAGATCAAAGAGTGAATTTTAAAACACATACAATTTTTTTAAATATTGTCCTGTAACGTCTTATGACGTGGAATAGAGTTTTTCAATGTACAAAAGTATGTTACATATAGATAATAAGCGAAAAATTTATTTTCTTGGTTGAAATTAAAGAAAACACGATTATTATTTGAAATAAAAATAAATAATATCACGAACTTGTGCTATGTATTGAAAACATTCATTGTAAATAAGTAAATTATGTAAGTAAACCATAAAACCATCATTTAACACAAATTTATTAACAGAAAAATTCAATAAATTTTCAGTAACGAGTTATCGATATAATTGTACTTACATCATAAAATGTGAAAGAAAATTACTTATTTTCGAGTTTATGCGGCTAATTTTGCTCGTTTTTTATGTTAAGACATTAATGCATATGTTTTGCGTTTAATGTATATCTGCCTCTAGTCTAATAAATTTTCTAAAAAAATATTGTAAATTTTAAGAAAACGCATTTAAAATTATTTTCCTTTGTGTTTATTAGTAACAAAAGCGATCTCACCAACGCGTAAAAAAATTCCAATGTGTTATTTACATTTATTTTTACGTTTTCAATAGCACTAGCGAGTATTTCAAACAACAAGTAATAATTTGTTTGTATTATTTATTCATTATAATAATCCCATTTATTTATCAGAAACTTCTAAACGAAATAAAATCTAATTGACTAGAAATAACGACAAAGTTGTGTTAGGCTCATCTGGCAACGCCTGGCCCTCGATCGAGTGGTAGATTTAACAACAGTATTGTTGCCGTTATGAGGGGTTGTCTATGCGCGATTGGGGTCCAAGTTATTCGACGGCATTTGACGGCCAAATGTTGGTGCGCCATCTCTTATTCACCGGTTTTGGGCTTGTTCGCTCCAAACAATAGGATGGGTATTTAACCAACGCTCATTCTAAAATATAGTTATCGTAAATAAGTGAAACGAATACCGCCAAGTGGAACGTACTGTTCAATTATTTTCATTAAAATATCACTACTCAAAATCATGTTTTTCAAGCGCATATAAAAATATGTTTGATTGTTGGGCAGCAATAAATGCCACAGCAGAGACCGTGTTGGAAACTACATTATTTGGATGATTTTCCATTAAAAAAAAAATAACTTACGGCATGACCGGGATCACCTGCACTTTGTTTTGTTCACAGAACACTTACTACTTTTTTATTTCACGTTCACGTGTCACCGCTAGGGATATTTTACCTCAGTGCTGACCAGCCCATTATTGTCTACTCTTGTTACGACTCTGTATTAAAATAAATTACAATAAAAAAGCTTAAAATAAGTCTTCACAATAATCAGAAAAAAAATCCAACAATAACGCAAAATCCGAAGTACTGCCACCTTGATCGCGATACAGTCTCCCAAAAGTCCTTAGAAAGTCGGTAATCAGTTTCAACGTCTCCTACAACATCAGTTGGCTATTCACAAACACCTTTTCAACAGTAACACCAACCTGATCCCAGTCAGTCCTAAAAATCCCCGTACACTGGGATTCGAAAACTTCGCTACTCAACAAGTTGTGTTTAATTAAATAAGCACAAAACTTTGCGAATGCATCCCAGGTGGCTTTGCGGTCACGCGACTGCGCAAAAAACGCCACGTTGCGCGGACACAGCAAAGACTTGAATAAATCATCACAGCCATTGTAGTATAACCTCCAAATGTCGCAAGACTTTGAGAGGACATCATTAGAGAGGAAAGTCCAATCGTGTGCGACTAAAAATCCATAGATTAACAGAAAAAAAAACTCGGTTGTCTGTAAAGTCGGTTTACTGACGATAGTTGAACGTGACAACGTCTTAAGAAAATACTGATGGAATGGTAGCATTTTTCAAAAGAAAATTTTAATTTCATTTGTTTAATAGATTTGTATGTATACAGGGTTAGTCACGAGAAAATTACTTCTGAAAATTATTTTTACGCAACTCAAAATACGAATACCGTGTGCCACTTGATACTAACTGAATTTTGAATGAAATGCTTAATCCATGATTGCTTTGACTTTGGCACTTTTGGTGGTGACATTTTGACAATTGTGGAAAACGAGGTTACGCGAGTGTCCATGGTGGTACCATATTTACTCGGAGATCTCCGCTGGCGCCGCTAAAAAATTTGTCAGGGTTTGCGTCAAATAAATCAAATCTGGAAATATAATATTTAAGTGAAAAATCTAAAATTTAAAAATTCGAAATACATATTAAAAAATCCCTAAATTGAAAAATTTTAAAACTCAAACATTTGAAAATCGAGAACTTGAGACATCGAGAAATCTCCACACCAAAAGATCGAGAACTCGAAAAGTCGAAAAATTCAGAACTTGGTAAAAAAACCGATAAACCAAAAAGCGAAAAACCGGAAAATCTAAGAATGAGAAGGCGAAAAATCGAAAGGAAACCGTTAAATCGAAAAGTAAAAAATCGAAATATCGAAAAACTGAAAAATGAATTCCGAAAAATTGAAAAATCGAAAAATCTAAAAACGAGTAGGCAAAAAACGAAAGATTGGGAAACCGAAGCATCAAAAAACTGAAAAATCTAAAATTTAAAAATTCGAAAAATTGATGATTTTACGTCATCTCCAACTTTTACAATAGTAAATGTAAATTTCTTTCAGATTCTATTTCATTCCCTATTGCTATATCCAGAAACCACTCCCAACCCAGAAACCACCCTATTGGCCTCGCAACAACCCCCCGACAACTCACCCTCGACAACCACCCCCCATCTGTCGCCCGGAAAAATCGCCGCGCTCCAAATCCCGGAGCCGCTCGGGGCCGCTTCCCGAGACACCTGAATTCGCCGTAGACGAAATCGTTACTTGCGTCAAAAACAACCAGCGCAACACTTCAAAACGAATCGATTCCGACAATCCCATTGATGTCGACACGTAATTTGATGTACCGTTCCGAGGAATCGGCGAGAACGTGCTAACCGGATTAAATCGAGAACTACAAGATTTATGTGAATTAATGATAACCTTTCAGTCCATTGTTTCGCCGTAGTTCGATGTAAAATTGATGGATTCCGCTCGACTTACCTTCTCCTTATCGATGACGATGACGCTGTCGTCGTCCTGCAGCAGTATGGTGCGGTCGGCGCACGGGTCGAAGGCGACGGACCGGATGGCGGAGCCGCGCGAAGCGAGCGACTTGGGGGGGCTCTTCGACAGGGACCGCGAAAATTTCGTCAGCTCGCGCCGGGATAGGTCGAACTCGATCACGTGCTCGTCAGAATAGGCCACCACCAAATTCGGTACCTTCGGGTGAATCCCCAAAGCCGTAGGCGGCGATTTGTACTTCGGTACTTTACAATAACTGACGTAGTGATTATTCTTCAAAGTCCAAACCGCGACTGGGAGTCGCCGGACACGCCCAACAACGCAATCGTATCTTCCATTTCTGCCAATCAAACAACAATAAACAAACCGACCAATGGCAACCCACCACGTGCCCTTACCTGACTGGGTGTTGATGGTCTGCGTCACGACGGCTCTATCATTGGCGATTTCCACCACTTGCAACCCACCGACATTGGGTGCCACGATTACGCGACTTTGGGCGAAAATGGCGCCCAAGCACGGTACTTCCCCCCAGCCTTCAGTTTCCACGGGTACCAACTTCAGTTGTAATTCTTCCCTAACTAGTTTCAATAATCTAACACCTAATCTAGTACTGTACAAAATTAAACCCCCATCGTCGGACATCGTCGCACATAGAATCCCCTCTTTTCTGTCATTGTCATCTACTTTAACCACCTTTTGCACTAAAACTAATTTCTGTGGACGTTTATCTACGGTGAACATCCCCGTGCGCTTGTCTTTTTCGCCCCCACTTTCCCCCAAAGTCCACACTTCGATGAATTTGGGGTACCGCAACATGACGTAGCGCGCTTTGGAGCATAGTGTGACGCAAGGGGCTTGCAAAATCGGCGCGAACTTTGACAGGGTTTTAGGGGGGTAACTGCAAGCTAAGTAACCGTCGACGCCGCTGGAATATAACTTGTTACCATCGAGAGCAAGAGCGCGCACGTCGTGGTCGTGGGTTTTACGCTGGACGCTGCGCACCCATTTCTGGGAATCATCCTTGACTTTAACCCGGACGTAATTGACAATGTTGGGGTCCACCCCGGCGCAGTAGAGGGACTCCTCGTCTTCTGATAGACACAGCGAGAGGATGTCAGCTCTGTGGGACTGGTAGCTTTCAAGCTGAGCCCCCACTTTGCCGTCCCACACGGTGAGAACACCCCTGGAGTCTCCACTGATTATAGAGAAGTCTTGGGTGATGGTGAGGCACCACACGATCGTGGGCTTGTTGTGTTCGGCACGGCCCGTGATCATTTTATGAAGGGCTTGATCTACAACAATTTTACTTAACTAATTATTACCAAAAATGAGAAAAAACGTACTAGTGCGGACGCTCCAGATCCGTAACGCGTCCAAACTCCCGGACACTATATACTCCCCAGAATGGTCGAATTTCAAACACAAAATGCGTCCCTCTTGCTTGTCCAAGAACTTGTCAAAAAAAAAACGAGGTTGTCTGTAAAGTCGGTTTACTGACGATAGATGAACGTGACAACGTCTTAAGAAAATACTGATGGAATGGTTTTGGGCTTTTGATTTTGAAGCAGCGATTATTGGCTGCGCGAATGGCGTTGCTAAAGTAAATGCTACAGCATCTTGAACATCCATGGGTTCACTCATTGAAGGTAAAGGCTTATTCGTAACATCCTCTGGTTTGTCAGGCTTTTTTTCCATGGTGCGTTTGTAAGCAGTTCTGCAAAATAAATCGTCGTTCGAAACAATTTAAATAAAATTCTTAAAATATTATCGTTGTCACGTCAAAATTGACACTACATTCACTTTTCACTGCACTTGATACTCGACCAAAACATGTAAATGTACTATAATATAGCAGCTGTCCACGCAGACGCATCGCTCACTCAAGTAGGAGAGAGACGGATGGCGAACGCTGCCGAACGCGAAGGCCGATTGTGCCTCTTTGTCGCTCGTTCCGCGTTCTCGCTTGCACTTCAAGCCTTACATGGAACGTGACAGTAACGCCGCATGAGTCATGCTTTTTCGTGCGTGCAGCCGGCTCCATCGATTTATAAGACCTTGTCACGTCAAAAAAGAAACATCGACGATATCACACTTACGTAGTAAAAGCATCAAATCGAGGATCTGCGTGCATATCGTCGCTAAAATACACTGATTAAAGTCACTTCTCTCATTTATACTCCTGGAAGTATCGTCCAGAAGTGAAACTAAGACCTCCTGGGATAATGGATTATTTTCAATCACACCAACTGTTAAAACCTGGAAACTTTATAATTATTACGAAAATTCTGTTCATTGGACAAACCCTGTATTTTTCGAGCAAATGGGCAGCACTGGTCACATTTTCATTGTGTTCCATGGGAGTGCCACCAGGTGGCAACATGAAAATTGGCTTTCGTGGTTTTTTACCGTCTTGGTTTGTGATTTTTTGAATCTCGTCATTAAAATCTTTCATAAAAACAGCTAAAAAAATAAAAGTTAAGTGACTGAAGGTTAGAGTTGGCACCACTGACCCAAAGTCACGTGACTCTCAATCCACTGTTTGACACGTTCTAGGCATGTTTTCTTGGTAATTCCCACACACACTTGTATAGTTTGTGGTAAAACGTCTAAAGAAACCAAAGATTCGATAGCCTTTTGAATTTTCGAGTCGGTGATTGCTTCCATTTCGCTGTCACAAGCTTTCTGAAGTTCTTCCAAGCAAGTGACAGCTAACTGATTAGCCGTTGTTTTCAAGGCAGTCTACGATTTTTCACAATTTTACAACTTGAAGCTTAACCTCACTTCTTACCTTCTGGGTTTCTATATCTTCATTCTTTTTAAATTGTATGCAAGATTTGAACTTATCGGAAGCAAGCTTTTTATGTTTGGGGACCAAAGTGTGACACACGTATTTTACGCAAGTCGAAGCCACTCTTTCGCTTACAAATTCGACTGTTTTTCGAAGCGAAGTTGGTTGTCCGTTAAAGAAGGCCTCTTCTAGTTGTTGCTAATAAAAAACGGATGAGTGACTATCTGATGTTAAAACTACGCAACTAACCTCCAATTTTTTCCTAGCTACTTCATCGGGTGATTGCAGGGCTGTAACCGGTGTAATGTGCTTGATTGTAATGGAATGACTGGTTGAAGACGATGATAAAAGTTTCTTGATTTCATCCAAATATGGGCAACAGAAGTAAAGTATATCTTGATCGACGATCTCCAGTTGGTCGAGGTAGAATTTTGGGTTCGTATTAGTCGTGTCATCGAAATTTGGTGTTTGTGTGCAGAAATGGAGAAAGTTATTGTCAGGTAATTGTGGAAGCTCAAATAACCAACCAAGACAGAATTTTATGAGAAAGATGTTGGGGTCCGGACCCCAATCGAAATTTCGATAGATCCAAAAAAGAGTTGTGTGGACTTGTGCGTAATAAGGTAGTTTGAGCGTTATGTAATCTAACATGGAAAGGTATTTTATTAACCAAGGGACACACAGTATTACGGACTTGCGTCTGATAGAGTTTTCGAGGAGAGTTTTCACGTCGAAGGTTGGTCGAATCTGTAGAAAAATTGACTGTGATTATGTGGACTACAATAAGAAACGTAGATAATAATTGTTCACATCACAATTTCTAAAAACAATCTTTGCTAACTCATTTGGAAAGTACAAAAAGTTTAACCACTTTTCATTACAGTAGACTATTAAAGTACAGTTAAAGAAGCATGCTATCCGAATATTTCAAGTGAGTTTTTCCATAACAAAATTTTGTCATCAACATTTTAGTAACGACACATTAATTTGGAAGAAGCAGTGGAATTAATAACACTAATGACAGTTCTGTACACTCACGTTTTCGGAAAAATGGGGTGAGCCGTTCTTGATTTGATCAATAAAAAAAAATTACCTGATTCATTTTTTTTGTCATCTGTATAAGTACCTTATTCTAAAAACTTTGAAATGACAAACAAAAAGTATACAGTCACACGGAAGCAGCCATTCGTCGCATGGGCTCTTATACAATACTTCCTTAGGTTACACTCCGGAAGTAAAAGTGACATAGATGTTACAGACAATTTACTAAGACATTTTTTTCTCGCGACGCGGGATCCATTTTGTGTTTATTTATCATGTGTTTTGTTTGGGATAAGCTAGGGACAGTCCACGATATAAAATCTCAAAGCTAATAGTTTTAAGTACCCAGTTTCTTGGATCATGGCATAATTTAGCATCATGTCAATTCTTTGTTTGAATCGTTGATAAAGTGTGGTATAATTTAACATCATGTAAATTTTTTGTTTAAATCGTTGATAAAGTGGGATAAATGTCAAACTAATGTAACTTTGTTAGTTGGTAATTTCTCACCTAATGCAATTTTTCTCTATCTCGTAATTTTAGCCTCGGTAATTTTCTTTGCCGTAAAATTTAAAGAAGCCAAAAATTAAGCTCCACCCATACCCGTCTAAATAGTAATGAAATTTTCATTCATTGGAAGACCCAGGGGCGGAGCCTTATTGCAAAATTCATTAAAAAAAAATCGTCACAATTGAGGTGGGGTGGGTGGGCGATATATATATTTTGCATTTTTTTCTTAATATACATCGTATTGTTTGAACAACATGTTACTAAACAACTTTTTTTGATATCCTTGTAAAGAAATAAGTATTTTGCAATTAAGCTCCGCCCCCTTGGTTCATAGCGAATAAAAAAAATCATCACAATTAAGATAGGGTGGGTGGGCGGGCTTACATTTTGCTTTTTTGTTTTAATGTGTGGACTTCTTTTCACCACATGAAACTTAAAACATGTTGGACAATTTGTATAAGGAAATATCGATTTTGCAATTATGCTAATAATAAGTAGAGATTTACAGATAGCTTCCATAAAATTTGTCTTAATCACTTCTATGAAATTAAACTGTATAAAAAACGAATGTTAGAATGCGAGCGCAGCGAGCATATTCTGGTGTTATTAAAAATAATTCATTGGTGTCCCCAAGAAGCTAAATTATTAACAGAAAAATGTATTCGCTTATAGGAAAAAATCTTTAAAATGTAGAGAATTATTATTACACCGGAAGCCAAACAACTTTGCTAAGACAAAGTCCAGATTTAATAAAAAAAACCGATATAAAGTTGTATTTTTTTTTTACTAAAGAAAATTTGGTTATGACATCTTAATAATAAATCAATCAATAATAACAAATTTTGACGTAAATTAATTGTCACTGTCAAGCATGTCAGTTTTGACAAATGGAAGTAACGTGGACTGGTAGGTTTACCAATTTCAATCAAAATTCATTGATGCCAACTGAAACAGTACTCGTACTTGTTCAGTACGCTGTAGTTTTGGTAAAAAACGGTAAATTGTTCAAATAAACGTCAATTTGAGTTTTGTGTTTTTTTTTTTAAATTGCATCTGAACAATTATCTATAAATCAATAAAAAACTCACCTGTTGTCTAATTTTTAAATGCGTTGTTAATAAATTCTCTGAATAGTTGCTGACTTCGCTCTTATATGGAAGGGATTCCACGAACCCTACAAATTTTGCCAAGGTCCTTAAATTCTTTATACACGTGTAGTAAAATTTCTTCGTCACAAAATCCAACTGAAAAACCGAAAAATCAAAATGTCTAAACTTTCAAACATTGAAGAATTAAAATATGGTAAAATTGAAAAATTGAAAAATACAAACATCAAAAAATCAAAAAAATAAAAAGTTGAAAAATTGAAAAACTGAAAAATCAACAAACTGAGAAATCAAAGCGCAAAAATTAAAGAAATTGGAAAATTGAAAAATCGAAACATTGAAATATCGAAAAATCGAAAAACCGACAAATCGAAAATCGAACCATCGAAAAATTCAAAAAATGACACATCGAGAAATCGAAAAAATTAAAAGATTGAGAAATCGAGGAGTCTAAAAGTAGAGAAGTCGAAAAATTGAAAATCCGAAATACGCGGAAATCGAAAAATTGAAAAGTTAAAAATTGAAAAACTGATAAATCGAGAGATTGAACAATCAAAACATCGAATCATCCGAATCTCGATAAATCGAGACCCCAAAAAATTGAAAAATCGAAAATTTAAAAATTTTGAAAATTGAAAAATAAAAATATGGACAAGTTGAAAAATTTAGAAATTGAATTATAAAATAGTCAAAAAATTGAAAAACCAAGAAGTCAAAAAATCGAAAACTCCAATAATAATCGAAATATTGAAAAATCCCAAAACTGAAAGAAATATCCAAAAATTGAGAAATTAAAAAATTGGAAACTTGAGAAATCAAAAACCAATAAAGCAAAGTCGAAAAATCGAAGAATTGAAGAACTGAAAAATCGAAATTCTGCGAAGTCGAGAAATGGGAAAATTAAAAAATAAATTAATTGAGACCACGGAAAACTGGAAATTTAGCAATGTCAAAATTCGAAAAATTGAAAAATAGAATTACTGAAAACTGAAATATCAAAAATCTTAAATTTAAAACACTGAACAATCAAAATATCGCAAAATTGAAAAATCGAGAATCCAAATATTAAAAATCAAAAAATTAAACTTCCAAAATGTAAAATTTCAAAATCGAAAAACTGAAAAATCGACAAATCGAGAAATCGAAACTCCAGAATTTAAAAAATTGAAAAATTAAAAAAACACAGAAATTGTAAAGTTCCCAAAATTGATAATGTTGAAAAAATTGAGAAATCGAAAACATAAAATCTAAAAATCGAAAAGTCGAAAAAATTTAAAAAATCGAAAAACCAAAATGGCAAAATTAAAAAATCCAAAAATTGAAAATAGATATATGTAAGAACTGAGAACTCGAGAAATAGAAAAAATTAAAACTTTAAAAATTGAAAAGTTAAAATATTGAAAAGTTGAAAAATTGAAAAATCGAAGTATAAAACAGTCGAAAAATTGAAAAATCGAAAAACTGAAAAATCCCACTGATAGAAATATCCAAAAATTGGGAAAATTAAAAATTGAAAAATCAAAAAAGCGAAGTCGAAAAATCGCAAACTTAAAAAATCGAAAAATTGAAAGTTCCAAAACCTGAAAAATCGAAAAATTTAAGAACTGAAAGATCGAAACTTTGGAAAGTCGAGAAATGGGAAAATCAAAAAATTGACTTGGAAATTGGCAAACTGAAAATTCGGAAACGTCAAAATTAAAAAAATTTGTAGAACTAAAAAACCGAAAAATCAAAATGTTCAATCTTTAAAACATTGAAGAATTAAAATATCGTAAAACTGAAAGATGGAAAAATCCAAACATCAAAAAATCAAGAAAATAAAAATTCGAAAATCTAAAATCAAAAAATCGAAAACTGAAAAATCATCAAATTGAGAAATCAAAACGCAAAAATTAAAAAAATTGGAAAATTGAAAAATCGGATAATTCAAAAATCGAAACATTGATAAAGCTAAACATCGAATAATTCAAAAATTGAGACATCAAGAAATCGAAAACATTAAAAGATTGAGAAATCGAGGAGTCGAAAAGTAGAGAAGGGGAAAAATTGAAAATCCGAAATAGGCGGAAATCGAAAAATCGAAAAGTTAAGAATTGAAAAACTGATAAATCGAGAGATTGAACAATCAAAACATCGAATCATCCGAATCTCGATAAATCGAGACCACAAAAAATTGAAAAATCGAAAATTTAAAAATTTGGAAAATTGTAAAATTAAAATATAGAAAAGTTGAAAAATTCAGAAATCGAATTATAAAACAGTCAAAAAATTGAAAAATCCATAAGTCAAAAAATCGAAATATTGAAAAATTCCAAAACTGAAAGAAATATCAAAAACTTGAGAAATTAAAAAATTGGAAACTTGAGAAATCAAAAACCAGTAAAGCAAAGTCAAAAATCGAAGAATTGAAATATAGAAACTTTGCGAAGTTGAGAAATGGGAAAATCAAAAAATAAATTAATTGAGACAACGAAAAATTTCAAAATAGAAATACTGTAGAAGTGAAATATCAAAAAATCGAGAAATCGACAAATCTAAAATTTAAAACACTGAACAATTAAAATATCGCAAAATTGAAAAGTCGAGAAATCCAAATATTAAAAATCAAAAAATTAAAATTCGAAAATCTAAAATTTAAAAATCGGAAAACTGAAAAATCGACAAATCGAGAAATCGAAACTCCAGAATTTAAAAAATTTAAAAATTCATCACAATTGAGAAGGGGCGGGTGGGTGGGGCTTATATTTTGTGCATTTTTTCTTATTATACGAAGTCTTTTTTCCTACCAAGAAACAGAAAACATATGAACTATCCTGTTGTTGGAACAAAGTTCTACATATTAAAAAAAAAAACACGAACATTAACCCCCCCCCACCCCCCCCGATCTCAATTGTGATAAATTTTTCATTCGTTGTTAGACCGAGGGGTGGAGCGTAATTGCAAAATACATACTTTTGAATATTTTGTTCAATTTTGTGATTTTTCAGTTTTTCGATTTTTCAATTATAACTTTTCAATTTTTAAATTATTAATTTTTTTCGATTTTTTAGTTTTCAGTTCTTCCATATTTCAATTTTTCAATTTTCGAAATTTTTAAATTTTCGCTTGTCCATTTTTTTTTATCTTTACGATTTTCCAATATACTGAAACAATGGTTAAAGTAACCCGAAATTTTAGAAAAACCATACAGTAAAAACCAGTGGCGTAAATATTATCGTGGCAGGGGGCGGTTCGCACAAATGCAGACAAATGAAATGTGTATAAATCAAATAACTTCAACTGTTTATGTTCATATTATGGCAAATTCTGATAACACACATCAGCGCTGCATTTGTGCTAAAAGAAAATGAAATTTGCAAGTTTAAAAAATATACAAAATTTACTTACATTTCAAATGGGAGACATTTTTCAGCTAAATCTCAACATATCCTCTTCAAAATTTTCACTTTCGCTCTCATCGTCACTTTCTACCTCTTCACTGTCCGTGGGCACGTACATATCATACAGAAGTTCTTCAATTCTGTCGCTGTCGCTGTCACTGTCACTGTTAATGTTGTAGTCACCTGAAAATGGCGGTGACAATAAATTGTAACGGTTATCGACCATGTCATTACCTTCCTCATCACTAGGCACGTACATATGGTATAACGGCGTTTCAAATTTGATTATTTTCTTGTTACTTTCGCCTATAGGAAGACCGTTCACTATTGAATAAAACTCTTTTGCTGTTTTCACCTCAAGTCTTTCAACGATGTGTTTCCTGGAGACGTCTCTAGCCAGTTCCACTAAAGAAGGCACCCTTGGAAGAACGTCTATTTTTTTTGCAACAACTTTCGGCAAGTTTTCTATCGTTAATATGGCAGTTCTTAATTTTGGGTTAACGCAGAAATCTAGTAAGCGCAGTACATCATAGGGAATCCATTGGTAAAACCATGATGGGGACAAGTTCATACGAGGGACATCCCAAATTTTAGACTGACCAACGGCCGATTTTTCTGAAATTAATGCAGCGAAATCTTCTACGCTTAAAGTAATGTTTACGAGGTATACGACCATTACAGTTTGATACGTTAGGAGACTTTTGTACTTGTTCGTATCTAATTCTATATCTAGGTGCAGTAAAGTCCGAAAGAGGATGCAATCACCGAACCTCCTGTAGACAATGTGACATGTCAATATCGCACTTCATACCATATTCAACCATGAACAAAACGAATGTTGTGGCTTCTAGTTCTGAATCTCCAGATTCACAAATACTTCTGCCGTCCACTCTTTCGAAAAATTCTATAACGCAATTGAAATAGAAGTCGTTTGTAGACAATGAATATTCCATCCTTTCCTGGAAGACAGAAAAGGATCTAAAAATACAGTTCGGCACCTCTTGTGACTCCAGAGCAGCTCTCACAGCCTCCGGGTGTCTCCGGACTATTGTTTTGAAGCGCTCGAAATCCATTCCCATCAAACATATTAGCAAAAATGCGTGATCTTTATTGTCATTGATCACAAATTCTAAATCGTAATTAATTAATCTATCGACTAGAAATATTTTCACGTGATTGCGGTCTTGTGATCTCTCCAAGAACTTTTACTTGTAGACTAGGCGAAGAAACGTCTGCAAACGCAGTTTGCCACACTTGGAGTCATGGTATGCATGAACAGTTCCTGCAAAAAAAAATTTGATACTTGATCATCAGTAGGCGGAAATTTATCTTACGGATGCAATTCCCCAGTTGAAGCAAGGTGTGTTTTACGGCGAGTAGCGGAGACGCTTTGATCTGGTCCACAAGGTCGTAGCCAGTGCGTCGCTAGGAGTGGTTACAGCTTGTTAAAAAACTACTTCTATATTACTATATTACTTCAAAAAACAATACTCGATGCCCTTTTTAATTTTTCAAACACAGGACCACAGATTTGTGATCTTGAAATGTTATATTATGTTGATATAGTCCAAAAGAAAAATATATTTGTAATCAAACTATCGTCGCGACAGCACTGGATCTAGCGTATGAAACACAATTCCGCCCGTTGTTGATCATACATCTGCAGCGACACAAAGTCGAACGCGCTGTATGGACCAAACAATTCGGAGCGGTTATCAGTGCGACTTTCTATCGCGGGGTTGCCTCCATAATAGAGTAACATGGCTACCGTCTCGTCTAGGCATTCATCGTAGATTCCGTTCCAATGAAGCCCATCCAAAATAAGTCGGAAAATGGTCTTCTTGTCTTTGTGGATAAAATTTGGGTCCAAGCCATGGTCTAGGCAGAATTTTATTTCCGCGGGATCTGTGCTGTAGTACAGTGGAAGATTATTAGCGTAGTGAAAGCTGTTCAAAGAGGGTTGGGTTCTATCAAACTGTAGATGAAATGGGGAGACATCCAGGTACGAATATACAGGCATTCTGAAGCGGTAGATGGGTGGACGGTGATTGCAATGCCAAATGGGTATTTCTTTCCTGAAATGAAAAAAAGAGTTCAATACTGTGGAACCAAAAAAAGGTAAATTATCAAACAATAAACTTTATTACAGATCTAAGTACCAACGTCTATTGCTTTTCTAGGGAGAGCTTTGAAGAGCTAAATACACCAAGCCCTTCTACAACTTTCTTTTCGAGTTCTCTTCCTCTATCATATAGTTCGTGTTGGATTTTCGTAAAGTGAAGTTTAAAAGTGTAAAAGTGTTAAAAATTATTTATCACCTAGTATTTTTTAAAATGTCCAAAGTCAAATCGTCGTTATTTTTATTTTTTTTTTTTATTTTTATTTTATTGGTTAACGTTACCCAACAGGCCGGAGGCCCAATTACAGGGTAACGGGGGACATACACAACACCCAGAGCAGGACGGGAATCGAATCCACGACCCAAGGTGTGACAGGCAAGCGCGATGCTACCTAACCCACCCGGGTCCTTTAAAAGACAAGTTGAAGGAATGGATGGAAACAAAGACGTTTTTCAAATAGAAAACGGCGAATTGTTCTGAAAGCTTGTGGGAAAATTGTAAGTACCTATAGATTATTATTAATGTTTCAAAATTCTAATGGGAAAACTAGTGGTGACATTAATTCCATAAATTTGACATTATATCTATTTCTGAAAAATAAATAAATAAATAAATAAATAAATAAAATGCGTTGTGGATTTCATGCTGTCAAAATTGTTGTCAAATTTATCATTTCAGGACTTCTACAACATTACCAGTGCAAAAATTATTATTCTTTAAATAATCTTTCAAATTACAAAATATTTGCCGGATGTCTTGACCGAATTTGGGAAAATACATTTTCTAAACAATCTCGAGAAAATCTCGATGATAATGAAAACTGGTCGAAGGTTATTTCAAGAGAACTTTCCTCGCCTCTGAAGCGTAGCCAAATAAATCTCGCTTTTTCGAAAAATTTTATTTTGTTTTTGCAATTTTTGTTTTCTGATATCCCCTTTAAAGTAAAATCCAGTGGCGTAAATAACGGTCTCACAGCTTTTTTGACTTGAATTTTTCAGTTCTTCAATCTTTCATTTTTTCGATTTCAATTTTTCGAGTTTTTGACTTTGGATTTTTCAATTTATGGATTTTGCAATTTTTCGAATTGAGTTCCTCGAGTTTTCAATTTTTAATTTTTCCATTTGAGTCGAGAAATCAAAAATAGATTGAGAAATCGGAAAACTGAAAATTCAGAAATGTCAAAATTAAAAAATATTGAGGAACTGAAAAACGGAAAAATCAAAATGTCTAAACTTTCAAACATTGAAGAATTAAAATATGGTAAAATTGAAAAATTGAAAAATCCAAACAACAAAAAATCAAAAAAATAAAAAGTTGAAAAATTGAAAAACTGAAAAATCAACAAACTGAGAAATCAAAACGCAAAAATTAAAGAAATTGGAAAATTGAAAAATCGGATAATTCAAAAATCGAAACATTGAAATATCGAAAAATCGAAAAACCGACAAATCGAAAATCGAACCATCGAAAAATTCAAAAAATGACACATCGAGAAATCGAAAAAATGAAAAGATTGAGAAATCGAGGAGTCTAAAAGTAGAGAAGTCGAAAAATTGAAAATCCGAAATACGCGGAAATCGAAAAATTGAAAAGTTAAAAATTGAAAAACTGATAAATCGAGAGATTGAACAATAAAAACATCGAATCATCCGAATCTCGATAAATCGAGACCCCAAAAAATTGAAAAATCGAAAATTTAAAAATTTTGAAAATTGAAAAATAAAAATATGGACAAGTTGAAAAATTTAGAAATTGAATTATAAAATAGTCAAAAAATTGAAAAACCAAGAAGTCAAAAAATCGAAAACTCCAATAATAATCGAAATATTGAAAAATCCCAAAACTGAAAGAAATATCCAAAAATTGAGAAATTAAAAAATTGGAAACTTGAGAAATCAAAAACCAATAAAGCAAAGTCGAAAAATCGAAGAATTGAAGAACTGAAAAATCGAAATTCTGCGAAGTCGAGAAATGGGAAAATTAAAAAATAAATTAATTGAGACCACGGAAAACTGGACATATGGCAATGTCAAAATTCGAAAAATGAAAAAATAGAATTACTAAAAACTGAAATATCAAAAAATCGAGAAATCAAAATGTAAAATTTAAAACACTGAACAATTAAAATATCGCAAAATTGAAAAATCGAGAAATCCAAACATTAAAAATCAAAAAATTAAACTTCCAAAATGTAAAATTTCAAAATCGAAAAACTGAAAAATCGACAAATCGAGAAATCGTAACTCCAGAATTTAAAAAATTGAAAAATTAAAAAAACACAGAAATTGTAAAGTTCCCAAAATTGATAATGTTGAAAAAATTGAGAAATCGAAAACATAAAATCTAAAAATCGAAAAGTCGAAAAAATTTAAAAAATCGAAAAACCAAAATGGCAAAATTAAAAAATCCAAAAATTGAAAATAGATATATGTAAGAACTGAAAACTCGAGAAATAGAAAAAATTAAAACTTTAAAAATTGAAAAGTTAAAATATGTATTGAAAAGTTGAAAAATTGAAAAATCGAAGTATAAAACAGTCGAAAAATTGAAAAATCGAAAAACTGAAAAATTCCACTGATAGAAATATCCAAAAATTGGGAAAATTAAAATTTGAAAAATCAAAAAAGCGAAGTCGAAAAATCGCAAACTTAAAAAATCGAAAAATTGAAAGTTCCAAAACCTGAAAAATCGAAAAATTTAAGAACTGAAAGATCGAAACTTTGGAAAGTCGAGAAATGGGAAAATCAAAAAATTGACTTGGAAATTGGAAAACTGAAAATTCGGAAACGTCAAAATTAAAAAAATTTGTAGAACTAAAAAACCGAAAAATCAAAATGTTCAATCTTTAAAACATTGAAGAATTAAAATATCGTAAAACTGAAAGATGGAAAAATCCAAACATCAAAAAATCAAGAAAATAAAAATTCGAAAATCTAAAATCAAAAAATCGAAAACTGAAAAATCATCAAATTGAGAAATCAAAACGCAAAAATTAAAAAAATTGGAAAATTGAAAAATCGGATAATTCAAAAATCGAAACATTGATAAAGCTAAACATCGAATAATTCAAAAATTGAGACATCAAGAAATCGAAAACATTAAAAGATTGACAAATCGAGGAGTCGAAAAGTAGAGAAGGGGAAAAATTGAAAATCCGAAATAGGCGGAAATCGAAAAATCGAAAAGTTAAAAATTGAAAAACTGATAAATCGAGAGATTGAACAATCAAAACATCGAATCATCCGAATCTCGATAAATCGAGACCACAAAAAATTGAAAAATCGAAAATTTAAAAATTTGGAAAATTGTAAAATTAAAATATAGAAAAGTTGAAAAATTCAGAAATCGAATTATAAAACAGTCAAAAAATTGAAAAATCCATAAGTCAAAAAATCGAAATATTGAAAAATTCCAAAACTGAAAGAAATATCCAAAACTTGAGAAATTAAAAAATTGGAAACTTGAGAAATCAAAAACCAGTAAAGCAAAGTCAAAAATCGAAGAATTGAAATATAGAAACTTTGCGAAGTTGAGAAATGGGAAAATCAAAAAATAAATTAATTGAGACAACGAAAAATTTAAAAATAGAAATACTGTAGAAGTGAAATATCAAAAAATCGAGAAATCGACAAATCTAAAATTTAAAACACTGAACAATTAAAATATCGCAAAATTGAAAAGTCGAGAAATCCAAACATTAAAAATCAAAAAATTAAAATTCGAAAATCTAAAATTTAAAAATCGGAAAACTGAAAAATCGACAAATCGAGAAATCGAAACTCCAGAATTTAAAAAATTTAAAAATTCATCACAATTGAGAAGGGGCGGGTGGGTGAGGCTTATATTTTGTCCGTTTTTTCTTATTATACGAAGTCTTTTTTCCTACCAAGAAACAGAAAACATATGAACTATCTTGTTGTTGGAAGAAAGCTCTATGTATTAAAAAAAAACACGAAGATTAACCCC